GTATCCCCCTGCAGTAGGAGTCCCAAGAGGGCCCAGCACATGTGTGAGAGAGAGAAGAGAGAGAACTTCCTTTGTTTGGAAGTTTATAAATTCAAGTTTCGTGTGCTTGCAGTGGCCAGCCCCATCCTGGTCACTAATTTGTTCCCAGCTATGATCGGACCTGGCAAGCGCCTTCCCAGGTCACTCAGACCTTACTGGGCATGCATCTAAACTGCCTTTCTCTAGTCCATTCCCCCATCAGTCAGCAGGGAACAGACTTGGAGAGTGTTAAAGTCAGCTTTTTGGCAAAGCTATATAAATGGCATGCTGTTAAATAATAACCAGGTTATTACAGTGGCATCATGGGGATTTAGCATTTTATATTCTTCATAGAAAACACACACACACATGCCCACAAAATCATCTTTTTTTTATAAGCTAGTGCTCACAGTATTTTAAATTTCTTCACACAACATGATCACCACACAAACAATTCCCTGTAGTGTATACCATTGTAAATGGAATTCAGAAATAAAGAGGGTGTGTGAATTCTGCTGTGTTTTTGAATTTACACTCCTGTGGCCTGGAGTCATCCCAGTGGTAAAGTCACAGTGGTAAGCAAAGCTGGCCAAGGTCATTGTTCCTAGTGTGCAGGACACTTGGTTAAAGCCCAAGGTGGTCAACAGATTACCTTAAGAGGAGGGAAAACCAGTCTCTTCCAGTGAGTGTCTTGAAGAGGGAAAAAAGGAATGCTGCGGTTGACAGCCTTTGAGTTCAGATAAGGGCCTTAGCCTGTCAATGTTAGTCAAGGTCAGTGGGGTTTTTTCTTTTTAATCCTACATTCTCACAAAACCTAGGCAGTATTCAGTGAGGGTTAGCACTCAGTCAAGCTTTTCCTAGGTATAAAAATCTAAATTTCAGTGTGAATACAAATTTGAAGAAAAAGATATTGCATGTTTTTGCCTTTCAAGCTTTAAAGTATGTGAAAAAGCTCTGGTTTGAAGCCGAGCTTCACTCTTTTACTACTTGTTTACTATGAAGTCTCTAATTTAACTTTAGCTTGCTATTTCCTTCAATTCTTTGGAAAATTCTAGCATACTTTTGAACTTATACTTTTATATATGTTTTATGATCTGCAGATTGGAACCAAGGAGTATATACCCGCTTATATCTAGACTTCAAATAGCAACCAATGCATGAGGGGTAGTTTCCAAGATTATTTCTCTTTCCTAGATAAAAATAAATTATTTTAATTATTTCTTAAATTTATAATTTATATTTTCTATTTCTGTCTATACATATGTGTTTTGATGTTAGTTCATAATAAGTATTTCATTAACAAGTGCATCCTTCTTAAAAAGGAATTACCTCAGGAAAAGGTAATTGGTCTAAGTTTTGTGGATTCCCATGCTACCAATTAGAGATTTAGTAGATGACAGGTAATAAGCTTTTCTTTTTAAATGCAAATACCATCCTCTGGATAATAAGGGCCAATTGGTCTTTTATATCTTAGTACATATTACTTTAACACTGCAGGTTTGGTTTAAGCGAGGAGAGGAAGGGAAGGAGAGGTAATTTTGTACTGTTAGAAAAACAAAATTCAACTTCGTATATTTGAAGAACTAATTGGCTTTATTAAGTGATTCAGGAATTGGGCAGCATCCCATCTAGCAACTAGAAGGACGCTCTGAGGGTATTGTACAAAATGGAAGCTTTTTATAGGAAGAAGGGTAGGTCAAGGGAACTATTAACATTAGAAAAGAAAGGATTGTTTTTAAATCAGGGCATCCTCTTGGGGGGGAAGGGAGCAGGCCAGTGTTTTTATCATGCAGATCGCCTCTTCTTTCTATGGGAGATGGAGAGGGCCCGCGTGACAGATTACCTGTTTGGTGTTGACCAGAAAATGCCAAACTGTTGATTAAGGTTATATTTCTGGGACAGGAAGAAACAGCAATTAAGTTGAGTATTAAATCTAGGTTTGATATCATGGGCTTTAGCACAAGTGATGCCAATTTAGGCCTGTGGTTTTCTCTTTAACATTACCCTAAGAAATTTCTAGAAAGGGAAAGTCCTTGGGGTATGTGGTTCACCTCAGAAAGGCTTTTGCATGGTGTGAGGGTTTGAAAAGTGGAAAATAAGAGCTGTAGAGCTTGGCAAAAGGAGTATATAAGGAAAGGCAAGCCTTCCGAAAGGGAAGCTGTAGTTGCTTTGTAATGCGGCAGCTACTCCCTGTGTCTTTAAACTGTCTCTCTGCCGGGCCAGCTTTGTCCCTTACACCAAAAGGTTGCCAGCTTGATTCGCACTCAGGGACATACCTGGGTTGTGGGTTTGAGCTCCAGTCAGGGAGCATATGGAAGGCAACCAGGCGATGTTTCTCTCTCACATCCATATTTCTCTCTCGTCTCCCTTCCTCTCTAAGCATATCCTCAAGCGAGGATTAAAAACAAAAACAAAAAACTGTCTCTCTTTCTGCCTTCATAGCAAAAGTTAGTAATATTGGCTTTAGCTGCTCAGTATTAGTTTGGTTATCTGGGTGTATTTACTATATGCAGTAAATGCAATTATTTTGTTTAATTCTAGAATAGAATGTTCTAGTTAACTGAGAAATGCCAGATAATATACAGATTATACATTTTCAAGGAACAGCAGTCCACTCAAAGATACTGAAACTATGCTAAAAGCACTAGTATTTGATTTTTTTTGACTATATAAATATCATAGTCACATAAAAGAACAATTATTAAAACAGAAATGATTACTTTTTAGAAACATCAGTTATTTTCAAATTCCTCTATTGCCCCTTCTAGCTCATGACTATGTATTCTTACAGATTTAAGAAATACAGTGTACATAGAAATTATATTCTGTTTTTTACTTATGATTTTTGTACACATTTACTGCAGAGGAGAGAGACCACTGGGTTGATGTGTTATGTAATTTTAATGTCTTCTCATTAAGCATTGAAATCATTTCTCTTTTTTCTTGGTTAATGAATATCTTTATTCCTAAAATGTATTTATTTCTCTTCTTTTAATATTTGATTAGGGGGGAAAAAAATACCAAAAATGAGATTACTGGGTAAATGGGAGTAAGGGTTTGTATGTCACTTGATGTCACCAAATTGCCCTAATAGATACTCTGCCCAGCAGTAGTGCATGAAATGTGCTTATTTTACCAATCTTTCTAGCTTTGGATTTTATTTTTTTATTTAATTGGTGTCAAATTGTGCCAACTTGATTTAGCAGTCTATTTTTTTCCTTTTTGAAAGTTAATTTTTTTTTTTAGAGTTTACAGTGAAAAGGAGTTTATCAGTGAAGGAGTGGGACAGAGAGAAGGCTGCCACATAGGCAGAGCCCCTCCCTAGTGGGATTTACTTCTTTCATTGAGGCTCATTTAGTTGAGGGTTAAGGCTTTCACTAAGGGGGAGGGGTATTCAGGGTTTTTCCCAGAAAGGTGTGGGGACTTCTCAGAAAAGCCCAGGCAGCCACGTGGTGTCCTTTAGATGGGCTTTCCATTTCTAAGGGGGCGGGGTTTAGTATGCTAATGACTTACAATGAGTGTATAATGAAGCTAGGGGTTCCCACAAGGACCATGTTGGATTGAGCTGGTCTTTTGTTGTTTCTAAGCCATAAATCCGTTGGAGGTTGGTTGGTGTTGTTTTTTTAATAAAAACTTTTAATTCTCTCTCTTGTTTGTCCATTTATCAGTGGCGTAACCCAGCAGGCTGGATTTGATAGAACTGTCTTAGCGATTAATATTTTCTTAATGCTTAAAAGCCTTCTCCATGCACTTGCAGCAATGCTTAATGGAAATTTGGGGTTAATATGCTTCCACATGAACTTTTCATTGGTTTATTTCTTTCTTTGATGTATGATGTTTCAAGTGATGAAATACATAGTTTGCTAATACTCAGTTGCCAAAGACAAAGAAGAAAACATATGTCACTTGATTTAACAAGATTCTTATATTTGCAATTTTATTCAAATTTTAAAGTAGGATATTTTTAAAGTATCATGAATCACCTGAGCCTTCAGAAAAGTTTATGACTGGCATAACAGCATTGTTCCTTTGGTGTTCAATGTTTTCTAGATGCAGCTTTAGTTGAATACCAGTAGATGGCACTAATTACATAAACAATTCAACAAGTTAATGAAGAGGGAAAGAAGTACATGAAGTATTTTTTTCTGTTCACAGTTGGTATATGTCAAACATTCAACAACTATATGGGAGCTTACTTTTATACTTTTTTCTCTCCCCTGATAAAAACAATTAAGATCAGTTTATTTCCACTTAATTGCTACTAAATTGAAATACCTGGTACTGGTTCTTATTCAACATGCTGCATTTGAAATGTTTTATCATGAAAAATGGGTTAGCTTATACTCTTATGACTGACTAAACCACATGATAAGTTAAAAGCAGTTATGTAGACATGTTCTGAACTGAGGATACTTTGGTACTAAGTTTTTCATTTTAAAATTAAACTTATTGGGGTGACATTGGCTAATAAAATTATATAGGTTTCAAGTGTTGTACAATTTTGTATATACAATGGAATACTTCTCAGCCATAAGAAAAGGTGAAATACTGCCATTTGTGACAACACAGATGGATGTTGAGAATATCATGCTAAGCGAAATAAGTCAGACAGAAAAAAAATCAAGAACCATATGATGTCTCTCATATATGGGATATAAAACTGAAAGCAACAAATGAACGAACAAGTAAAACAAACAAACCAAAACACATAGAACACAGGCAATAGTATGGTGGTTACCGGAGGTGGGGGGTAGGATTCATAAAGGGTACAGGGGAGTCAAATATATGGTGATGGAAGAAGATTTGACTTTGGGTGGTGGGTATATATGTTTTTTTCATTTTATAACAAGCATGTGTTATAAATGTATTATAGTAATTTGAAAAACATACAATAAATAATTTTTAGGAGGACCAAAAAGAAACTGTGATTAGAGATTTCGGAGAAAACTGACATCCGTTCTCTTTCTCATATGCATCTGTAGCAGTTGGCCAAAGACCTCCGCCAGTGGAAGATAAACGTCGATGTGGCCAATGACTTGGCACTGAAACTTCTCCGGGATTATTCTGCAGACGATACCAGAAAAGTACACATGATAACAGAGAACATCAATGCCTCTTGGGCAAGCATTCAGAAAAGGTACGAACTACGTTACTTCTGAAACTATTGTTGGCTGGAATGATGGCGTGGTGACACTGGTTGGACAGTGAAGATGTATTTTCCCAATCTTGCTTAACCAGGCTTGTGAGGATCCAAGATGACAAATCTAATAAAACTCACAGGCTTGCCCAAGTCCTCTTATTTTAAAGATGAGGGACCTGGGGAAATTACGTGATTTTCCCACAGTCATAAAGGTAGTGACATAGCTGAGATTATACAAAACCAAAATACTGATTTACAGTAAAAGAACCATTGATCAGTCTGCTTTGAGACTCTACCCAAAGAAATATCAAGGAAATTTTTAAAAAATGATTTTGAACTAAGAGCAGAAACTTAGGAGTAATGACCTATTGATATATGGAAAATAAGAGACCAAATAAATCTTGAAATTGAGTTAGAGACTGAAGAGTGAAAACTACTGTGAAAATGGATTAAAGCTGCTGACTCGGGGGGAATAGAGCAGCTCTAGTCCTGAATTCCAGACAGTGGGTGTTCAGATAACCATGGAAAAGAAGACTCACCCTGAAGTTGGGGAGTTATATTTGGAGCTCTATCAAAAAGACCCTGGTGGAGAGAGGGCCTCCTCTCAGTGATAAGGTTGGACTTTCTGATCCCAATACAGATCCAGTATCTGTTCAATTAAGGCCCTAGTAGGCTCAGGAAGACTTTCTCATATGCAGTCGATTGATATCGCAGAGTCAATAGTTAGATCTCAATGGGAAATACCTGTTTTTCAATGAGAAGCCTCTTTAGAAAAGTAAATTAAGATCAGAAATTAATTTGATGGATTTAGGGAATGTCTATGGTACAAAACCAGGGTTTCAGGGGAGGTCTGTGTCATTGACTCACTCTTTCTGGCAGACCCCTGTCTACATTCTCATGCTCTTTGAATCTCCAAGCACCTCTCTCAGTTCTTTTGATCACTTTATTAAGGTCTTTGGAATCCTACAGGAAGGGCTTCTAGTTTATACTTTGACATGGTCCCTAAGAAGCTACCACTTAAAGAAAGTATATAATTATTTCTCTAACGGGTAAAATAAAGTAGAATGTTAGAAGCCAAATTACATTTTTCGCTGGTCCATACAGAATCTGCAATTTGCCAAATTTATTTTGACTCATTCCTCTAAGGTTCTTCCGTATTCTTTCTCTCATATGCTCTGAAATTTCATCCACTTGTGTAGTTTCAGTCCGCTGATGACTGTCCATTTACACCAGTTGCAGCTGAGAAGGATCTTTTGAGTTTCAGACCTGCATATCCTACTGATTTCTTTCCATTTTAATGTCCCCCAGAAACTTCAAACCAAGTACACCCAATGCTGAGCTCATGTTTGCCCCCTTTCAACCTTTGTCTGCAAATGTCACCTACTTCTCTCCCAATGAGCCCTCTCCAGTGAACGTGACCACAGCCCATTCAGTTGTCCAAGTCAGAAGCTCATGCTTGCCTCTTCCATCGTAGCCACACTAGCCAAGCGATTACAAAGCTATTTACTGCCCAAGTAGCTTTCAAATCCAGTCCCTTGCCATCAGCCCTACGCCTTGCCTGCCATGCCTTGCCTTAATGACATCACTCACCTAACTGGTTTCCCTTCTTCTAGCCTTCCTGCCTCCCATCCACCCTCCACATAGAGTACAGCATATTCACGTCGCTCACCCTCCTCCCACTCTTAAAGCCTCTAGTGACTTATCCATTATTATTTGAAGACAGTTCACACTCCTGTAAATGATTTCAAGGTCTTGCAGGATTTGACCTTTCCTTAAAACTCCAGCGTAATGGCCTGCTCTCGCTCTACCCCCCCTTTCCCATCGCCGACACAAGTAACCTGGAGCTATGTCACTTCCTCGTAGTCATGTTTTGTCTCCCCACTTACCTAATGACCAGGTCTCAGTGTAAATGCCAGTTCCTGCAGGAAGCCTTCTCCAACTACCAACCCTCAAGCCCCTGCTCTTTGGGCCCCTTTTGCAGTACTTATCTCACTATCCTGGAGTTAAGTGTTTGCCGGTCTTGCTCTCCACAAGGATCTTATGCTAGATACTAAACACTAGTTAAGTGTTTGCTGGCCTTGGCCCTGTGGGGGTGTGCACATTGGCTGCTTGTACACCATATTGCCTAGCACTTAGCTTGGCATAGAGTAACTACCCCCAAAACATTTTTTATTAAATAGGTAAATGAACAAACGAACAAAATCACTAACTACAAGTGTTTTGATGTGCCAGTAACTCAACACAGAAGAAAGACGTATCCCTTAGGATGGCCTCCAGTTTCAGCTAACTGGAAACCCAAGCCCAGTAGCTCGCCCAATAGAGGTCTGTTTTCTCACTTCGTGAGAAGTTCAGAGACAGGCAGGTGCCGATGGCTCCGTGGCTCAGCAGTGTCATCCCTAAAGTCTCCGTGTTTTTCTTGGCATTTTCTCAGAACATTTGCATCCCAGCAGGAAGAGGAAGGGAAGGAGGCGGTGCTTGCATCAGGAAAGCCATGGCTTTCCCAGGAACTTTAGGGCCTGAACTATGTCCAAAGCCACCTCTGGTTCCCAGGAATTTAGGTAGAGCCATCCCATAGAGAACGTCTGCCGATGGGCATGCTGTAGGTGGACAGTGTTGTTTTCTGGAGAGAACCACTCAAAGCTTTGCGTAAATACAGTATACCCATGCGGCTCGTATAGTCGCGCAAAGTGTATTTGTGCGGTATATTCACGTAGGATTGTAATAGGAATGGGCCATTGGGCCTAATGGTTGCTCTGAGAGGTCGTGAGAGCTGCGTTCCCTATTAGCTGATTCCTTTACGTTCAAAATTCACATTCTGTGTATGCTCTGTGTGTGTCAGCCGCACAGATGAAACCTGACTATGGCTTCTCGAATTTTACGTTCTTATAGATCTTATACTAGATACAGAACAAGAAAACTCTTCGTGTGATCTTTTGCATTTGGACGTTTGAATCCAATATCTTGCCCAGCTAATCCCAGAAGTGAAGTCACCTCCTGCTGCAGATCAGGGCTGTCCAGTAGGGTAGCCACTAGCCACAGGTGGCTATTTAAATGTAAATTCATTATCATAAAATTTAACGTTGATTTTTCTCCATCTCATCAGCCACCTAGGAAGTGCTCAAGAGTCACATGTTGCTATTGGCTTCCCTGTTAGCCAGTACAAAGTAGAAGGTTTCCATCATCACTGAGAATTTGCAGCAGTCCTGCTCTGGACCATCTTTGTCTGCATTCACCTAAACCGTTCAGGGCACATTTATAACAATTACACCATATTACTCCAAGAGAAGTTTTTTGCCAAATTTTATAAATAAACAGTGTTTCTTAACAAAGCTGTTCACAGTATCCTGTTTCCTTGTTTCTACCTTATTTCTTCTGTTTACCCATTTTCTAGAGTTGGTGTTTAAAGTCTCAAAAACTACAACTATCACAGGATGTAAACACTTTCACTTTTGTTGTGAATTATATAAACATAATTTTTAAAGGAGAGATTATTTATATTGATATTCAGGTTATGGAGAAAAAGTATCCCATATCTTTGAAAGTATCTGTAACCAAGACTTTTCAGGTAGAAGGGACTCTGTTGAAATCATTTTGATTACATTATTTCTCAGTTCAGTTTTACTACTGAACACTAATGTATTGCCTAACCTGAAACTTTCAATCATATGGATAAATATGATTCGAAAGCCTATTAAAAGCAGTAAGACTTCAATTCAGTTTTAAATTGTTGAATGTTAAATAAGACATAAAAAATGTAACTTGGAAGAACTTTACTTGATATCATACACTGGCAGGGTGTCGTTTCAAGACCTAATCAAAACCAAAAGTCAGCTAATTTTTTTACATTTTAGCCTTCAAGTTTATTAATAGGTCAGAAGACCTTTGTTTACCATTTTATACAGATAAATATAAATATAAATAGCCACGTGGGCCTAAAAGGAACTTGTCTACCATTCATGAATAGAAGAGCAACTTGTTTCTCAACTAAATTCCATAGTTTAACGATTCACATCAGAACATAGATCATCGCTGTGACCTGTGTAGGAAAATACTTTCTTTTCCTGATCCTATTCCTTGTAGAGTACATGTTAACACATAAAGACAGAAACGAGGGTCTCTGCAAGTTCATGTCTTGCTCTTCAACCTCCGGGAACAGATATGCATTGGTGAGTAAGATAATATTAGATGTGATATTACAAATTATTGTGAGAAGCCTCTAAGGATTAGATTTCAAGGACTGCCATCTGGCTGATGACTTTATGATGACACTGTCATGAGATTTCATTTCCTTATTTCTATTCCGGGATCACTCTTTAAACAAGAAATGAGCATTAAATCTGAACTGTCTGTCCGTTGCTGTAGGAGGGCTTCCACAACTACCAATCAGCAAGGAGCCAACCGCTCAAGAGGAGGGCTGTTCCTAGCTCAGAGGTTTCAACAGGCCGACAGTTCCTCGCAAAAGCTCCCAGATACCCGAACAATCTCTCTAGGTTCTTAGAAAGACATAGCATGTATGTTTGAACATGCACGCACGTGTATATGCGTGTACATACACGAAAATACACTATTCCTTAAGTAATATCTCAGTATTCTACTGTCCTTCCTAGTAATTTGTTTCAAAATTTAATAATACGATTACTATTTGATAAACTGAAAAACTGTCACCTGTGTTTTCCGTCTTTGACAACCGTGAAGGCACTTCTTGCTTCTCTAGTTTTAGATCCTTTCTCTTTTTCACTTTAAAGGAACAAGAAAAGGGAGGGGGGGAACTGTGGATCCCTAGTATGTGCGCAGCAAAGAGGTGCTTGAGCTGGGCCCTGGGTCTCTTCCACATTCTCGAACAGACGCTTTCAGCAATAGCTGTGCTTTCTTTCTCGGGGATCTTCTGTTTCTTCTTTCTTCTTGCTCCTTTCAGCCAACCCTCATGCTCCAGTCTCCCTCACCCTAAAATACATTTTTTACAATACCACCTTCTGTGTCTAGCCCTGCTTGCTTCC